TTCTCAGAGTAGTAGATTTTGTAGTCATACCATTGTCCCCAAATTTGACCTTGTATCCAGGTTTAATTAACATGACCTAAAACAGATCAGGCTTTATAGTATTCAACAATTGCACTATTAGGGATGTCTTCAGGATATTGGCATTATTCACTTTGGAACTGTAATGTATATGTAGTTTAAAGGTTTGAGAATTTAGGTATTATTGGAAGCAGGAGCAGCATCCACTTCCTAAACAACATGCCTCTGGACACTATGGACTTAGAGAAATGATGATAATTATAGAACAAAGTTCAGGTCTTTTGTTCATAGGGTCACTATGAGTCATCCTCAACTCAATGGCAAACCACAATAACGCCATGGGATATGAAATCCCTTGTTCCACTGTTCCAGCGGTTTATGCAGTAAGACATTTTAATACCTACTTTAAAGGTCAGGCATGATTTAATTTGAAAGTTTTGGCTGATCCAGCTGTGTTCTGTTTTTCAGAGAAACCCGTTGAAATAGAATCCTCACCATGCATTCTAAAAAACTGTTCTTGACATTTTGTGTACTTCTATGTATTAACTTTTCAGGTAAGTGTGTACAACTATTCACAAGCGTACTTCATTGGCAATCTAGAGAGACAACCAAGATATTTTTTAAATATGTAATTGTCTACTCAAAGGAAGATTGATGGCACTTATCTATTAAGCTAAGGATTTTAAGTTTTACTTTGAAATAAAGTTGCTAAGAGTTTTGTGTTGCTGTCTAGAGTACAAGGACATCATATGAGTGGTATCAAATAGCAAAGGCTCATATAACCATATAGAAAAGAACAAGCTTCTGCCCTCTTAATTTATGTAGAGAGGACAAGATACATTTAACTTACATCCTGAAATAAATGGCAATGTTCAGGTAAAAATATCCCCCATATTGAGAACAAAATCATTGTAACTATCTTTGTTACTGGCTTTTAGAAAGTTTTATCCACAATTTTCCCTTCCCGAAATGAAGGCAAAGATTTATCTTCTAATTTGGTAATGAAGGTAATTAATAGGAGGTTCCTTTTGCAGAGTCTAAAGAAAACATAAAAGCTAGAGGCCCTGCATATTAGAAAGCACAATGAGGATTCACATCAGGTATCAAAATTTAATTTCTTGGTGTAGATGACTTGGGGTTTTCAATTGAGAAAGACTGTGAAACTATGTTAGGATACTTTGGAGAAGAGTCTCCTGGTTGATTAACATGGTTTTCTGGTTTGTTTAGGCTTTGATGGATAAGTTGGAGCAAAATTATTAATTGGCTTTGATCTGGTACCTAGAAGGTTAGCCCTACATAGCATAAATGATTATGCAACTCAATTACTGACTGAAAGTAGGACAGTAATATAGACCAGCTTCTGATAGTGATGGTGGTGATTTTTAGGTCTTTGTGTTGAATATAGCTTCAACTCTCAGGGACTCAGTATGCTGCAGTGTAAAACCTTGCCCGATAGTTCTCCATCCTCATCTCTGCTGTCCTTCAGTCTGTTTTTGAAGTGACTGTGTCAGTTCATCCTATTAAATTCCATGCCCTTTTTTGCTAGCCCTGCACTTTCCCCAACATGATGTCTTTCTCAAGGAATTAGCCCTTCCTGATAATATGCCCAAAGCATTGGAGATGAAATCAAACCATCCTTGCTTCTAAGGGACACTCTGGCATGTTTGTTATTTTGACAGTTCAGGAATGTTCAATGTTCTTTGCCAACACTGCAAATTGAAGGCACCAAGGTTCATTTAGCCTTTCCTATTTGTTGTTCAATTTTACATTCATTATTAGTTATTGAGATTTCATGAATTGGGTCAGATGTGCCTTTTTTATATCCTTGCTCTGTAGAGCACCTTAAAGAAGTGCTTAGCGGCAGATTGTCCAGTATATTATTTGTTTTCTTGACTGCTACATTGAAAATCCTATGGAGCAGTTCTAGCCTGCACAGTACAAATTTCAGTTGACTTGATGACAACTAACAACGACAATAACTTATAAGTCAATATCCTCTATGAAAATTACTGCTGAAGAAAATAGAAGAGTTATGCTATTGATATTTTCATATAATATAAATCCAGTTTGAGGAATATGTCCTTATGTGAATCTACAGATTATTGAGATCCAAAAGATGCCATACTGCCCAGAGTTAAGAGAATGAGGTACACCAATTCTTTCTCATATAGAATGATTAAAGAAGAAAAGGAAAAAAAAAAAAGAATGATTAGTCAGGAATTGCTGTGTGAATAACATTTTTCTTTATATTCATCAAAACATAGAAATAACTCAAATATAAATTATCAAAAGAACTATGGTCAAATATTAACATAATTGGAATCTATATTGCATATTAACGTAATATAGATTACATTGTTGTTGTTGTTGTTTGGTGCTGTCAAGTAGAGTATGACTCATAGTGGCCCTATGAATAAGAGATCTGAACTTTGTTCTATCCTATGCTGTCCTCACAATCTCTGACACACTTGAGCCCATTGCTGCAGTCAGTGTCAATCCACCTGATGGAGAGGACTTCCTCTTCTTCACCATCCTTCAACTGTTTCAAGATAATGTCCCTTTCCAAGGAATAACCTCTCCTAGCCAAATACTGGACTCTCAAAGACATAATGATGCATGCAATACTCAAACCAAAACAAAGAAAAAGGGCCCATGACTTCTTTGAAGTGCTAATAAGCAAAGATGTCATTTAAAGACCAAGGTTCACCTGATCCAAACAATGTTATTGTCAATTACTTCATATATGAGAGAGTTAGACAATGAATATAGAAGATTGAAGAATAAATGATGTTTTTGAATTGTGGTATTGGTGAAGATTACAAACAAGTATAAATTGCGGTAAGGATAGTAAAACTGCTTCTTGCATGCGTTGGAGATATTGTCAGGAAGACCCAGTCCCTGGGAAAATATGTAATCTTGGAAAGGTATAGTGTCAGAGAAGAAGAAGAAGATTCTCATTGAGATGTACTGACAGGGTGACTGGAACAGTGGACTTAAGCACAAAGATTGTGAGCTTGTCAAGGTTCAGCTCTTTTGCATCTAGGGTCACTAGGAGTCAGAGTCAACTTCTTGGCACCTAAGGGTAACAACATAACTCTAAGAAAGGAAAGTAGTGTTTATTTTTTGATCTGTCACTGCTTAGGATGTCAATTAGAACTAGCACATTAATATACACATCACACTTTCTGTGTTAATGTACTGAGATGTAAATTAGAGATTCTATTAACAACCACTAAACCATGTGTTTTGTGGTAATTTTGACATCTATGTTTTCAAAGAATGTTTCTAACATTTCGGCCACTTCCTCTTACTTTGGTGGCTGATAAAACTGAGTTAAAACAAGACTCTTGCTTTGAGAAATTAACTAAAGAGAAAGCATTTTCCTCTATAACAATCGGGAAATGTTCTCCTCAATTTAAGTATTCTTATTCTCTTGTGTGCTTATTCTGTTCCCTGGAGGCATCCACCAGAGAACAGGATAGGCCACTTTGAAGTGAAAAACACAAAAGAAGAAGGGGAAGAAAGAATCAGATACCTGCTCAAAGCCAGAATCTGTGATAAGTGAATTAGGAAAGAGAGGGGGGGGGAGAGAGAGAGAGAGAGAGAGCTTGAGAGATTGTGTTTTCCTTTATGAAGAATCTGGAATGCATATTAGAATACTGTCATCTTTTAAAATTTCACCACACACCATCCTGTCCCATAATTAGTGCACATTAAGTTTTAATTATTGGGAGAAGCTGTGGGAAGATTTGTCTTCATCTCTGTGTGTTCTGAGTATGATTTCTCTTCTGTTTTCTGTTGTTATGTGCCGTCGAGTCGCTTGCCACTCATAGCGACCCTATGTACAATATACACCCATGTTCATCAAAAACTTTCCCCAACAGGGCAAAAAGAAACCCTACCAACTAGGAAAATACATTTGACAATATCATCTCAAACAAGAGTCTCATAGCAAAAGTTTACAGGATACTCCTATACTTCCAGAAGGAAAAGATCGAAAATTCTATTACAAAATGGGCAAAATACATGGAAAGACTTTTCATAAAGGAAGACATTAGGAAGGCCAACAGACACACACACAAAAATGTTCAAAATCACTGGCAGTAAGAGATGTGCAAATCAAATCCACAATGAGATACTACCTAATCCCAGTAGCAGTGGTAAAGTTTAGCAGGGCAGCAAACAATTCATGTTGGAGAAGATGTGGAGAGATAGGAACTCTCATACACTGTTGGTAGAGTTGTAAAATGGTACAACCAATCTGGAAGACAATTTGGCATTTCTTCAAAAAGCTAAACATAGAAATCACATGTTGTTGTTGTTGTTGTGTGCCGTCGAGTCACTTGCAACTCATAGTGACCCTATGTACAACAGCCCTAAACTCCCCTCTGTCCTGTGCCAATCTCACTGTCTCTGACACTCCTATCCCAATTATCCCAGTCACTGAATCAATCCACCTCATAGAGGGCCTTCCTCTCCTGCGCTGTCCCTCCACTCTCCCAAGCATGATGTCCCTCTCCAAGGACCTGTCTCTCCTCACAACATGTCCAAAGTATGTTAGACGGAGCCTCAGAATCCTTGCCTCCAAGGAACCACCCGGTTTAACCCTTTCCAGGACAAATCTGTTTGTTTTCCTAGCAGTCCATGGTATTCTCAATACTCTTCTCCAGCACCACAGCTCAAAGGCATCAATTCTCCTTCTATCCTCCTTGGTCACTGTCCAACTCTCTGATGCATAACAAGTGGTTGCGAAGACCATGGCCTATATCAGACGCACCTTCTATTTCCTAGGGTTGCAAAAAGTTGTCCTTAAAGTGAGAAAGCATATAAGAATGAAACCTTGAGATTTCTCAGGGCTTGGTTTTAACTCTTTTTTCCCTCCTGATGCACTAGAAGAGGGGGGTGGGGAGAGAAAGAAAATAACAACAACTTTGTAATTTTGTTTGTTTTCTCTTCTTTTACTTTGCTTATCTTTAGTGGAAATGTGTACACCTCGTTTCCGTGTTAATGCGGTGGCAGGGGAACCTTTCTATTTGAAATATTGCTCATATAACTCTGAGCATAAGAATAAAAATGACACTATAAAATGGTATAAAAGCAACAAGTTACTTGGACAGATTGAGCTAAACCCAAGCAGTTCACCCAGAATTGTTTTTAATGGTTATGCTTTGGAATTTTGGCCAGTTGAATTGGATGACAGTGGATCTTATATTTTCAAGATGGGGTGAGTATTTCTTTAAGTATATATAGATTTTATGTATCTTTGACCTTTGTTCAGTAACTCAAACATAGGATGATCAGCTAACCTATGTAATTTTTAATCTTTACCCTTCCTATACTGTAAATAACAAAGTTGTTTTAAAAATAACCATTGAATGCAAAAACTCCCATGCTTGTCTTATTAGTGGCTTTAATGAAAGGCTATTATTAAAATAGGATTTGCTTTTAGGGAAAACATGCAAAAAATAACCAAAGATGTTACAAAATTTCAGAATTTAATAGCCCTTTATTTTCTAGATCTACTTGTCAAGTGAATGACTGAGGCTTCGTAATGTTAACAACTCTTAGTGAAGTGAAAGGTGCTTCAGCTCTGTGGGTGATATTCTGAGCTTAGGAGGGCAGATGTTATACACATCCAGTATTCATGGGTTTGTTGGGAGCCAAGAAAGCAAGGCCAAGGGAGAAAATATGTGTTTGGTGGCCAAGTACAAACTGACAACCAGAGGCCATGGCAGTGGCAGAGACGCAAAAAAATTCTGGTAGCCTACTTGGTAAAGTTAGAAAACTTGCTGGAGGGTCAATGATGAGTCAGTCTGTCTTGGCATTTCAACAGAGATGTTGTTAGGTGCTATCATATTGACTAAGGTTCCTAGTGATTTTATGAATAAGGGATCAGAATCCTGTCCTATCTTGTGCCATTCTCATCATCTCTGATATACTTGAACCTGTTGCTACAGTCACTGTGTCAATTCATCTAATTGAGGGTCTTCCTCTCTTTCATTGACCCTCCACCTGTTTAAATATGATGTCCTTTTCCAAGTACTGGCTTTTCTTAACAACAAGCCCAAAGAATGGTATATGAAGTTTCATCATCCTTGTCTCCAAGGATTGACCTGGGTGCACTTTCTCCAAGACAGATTTGTTTGTTCTCTTGTTAGTCCATAGAGTATTTAGTACTCTTTTCCAGTACCACAACTCAAAGATGTTGCTTCTTCATCTGTAATCCTTAGACAGCATTGAGTTTAAGGGGTTTTTGTTTGGTTGGTTGGTTTGTTTTGTTTTTTGGTTTGGTTTTGTCTTCATGACTTAGTGCTAGATTCCAGGAAGATAGTCATAACGAAGACTCTCAAGTCCTAGGAAATGAAAGCAACCAAACAAATGCATCAAGGATTATTATTGAATGCGGAACCCTTTATAATATTTGATGAGTTGAGAAAGGTATAGCCAAGAAATAAAATATCTATGTAATTGACTATCAGTGGGACGCTTCATAGCATAATGTTTTTCTGGTAACTGTGCAATGACTTCTGTATGTTGACGTGCATATATGTATGTTTACTGAGCTTTAAGACTGACTTGCAAGAAACTATGGTGAGGGTGTGAAATTTGATGTAGCTATGGTCTTTGCAATCACTTGTTATGCATCAGAGTTGGACAATGACTAAGAAGGATAGAAGGAGAATTGATGCCTTTGAGCTGTGGTGCTGGAGAAGAGTTCTGAATGTACCCTGGACTGCCAAGAAAACAAACAGATTCATCCAGGAGAGGGTTAAACTAGGATGCTCCTTGGAGGCAAGGATTCTGGGGCTTCGTCTGACATACTTTGGACATGTTGTAAGGAGAGGCAGGTCTTTAGAGAGGGACATCATGCTTGGGAGGGTGGAGGGACAGTGCAGAAGAGGAAGACCCTCTATGAGGTAGATTGATTCAGTGACTAGGGTAATCGGGATGGGTGTGTCAGAGGCAGTGAGGTTGGCACAGGATAGAGCGGGGTTTAGGGCTGTTGTACATAGGGTCGCTATGAGTCGCAAGCGACTTGACGGCACATAACAGCAACAATATTTCTTTTAGGAGTGCCTCTGCAGGGAGTCCTGATCTTTATCAATAATAGTACAGTTGAGATCTGAGACATCACATCACTCTTGTGGTTTTGCACAGAAATAGGTTACATCAGCTTGTTTTATACATAGGATCTCCCAAGAGTGAGAAAGACATATGACTTTTTTAAAAAACTTTTGAGTTTTATGTGACCCTTCAGAGAGATGACTCCAGAAAATAGGTCATAAATCTGTGCCTGCACACCAGCCTACGGAAGAATGATGTCATAAATGAAGCTGAGGGGAAAAAATAACAACAAATGATACATCTTGTCTTACAAAGAGGAGGGAGCTCTGATACTGTAATCTATAGACAGTTGCACAGATAACCCAATGGCCGTGTCTCCCTGGTTTTTCGAATGTACCAGCAGCTCCATGAGAGAAAAATGGGCAATCTCTGAGTATGTCTTGGATGCCCCGGGGTGGATATGAGTCAACTCTGACTTTTTGACAGTGAATACTTAGAGGAGGCCTAGTGGCACAGTTGTTCAGTGCTCATTTACAAGCAGAAAGATTTGGTTTGAACTTACCAGGAGACAGATAAACTGTCTGGCCTCATAAAGATAATCCATTGTCATTTAATCAATCCTGACTCATAGTGAACTGATAGAACAGACTAGAATTGCACTGTAGAATTTCCAATGTTGTAGTCTTTATAGAAGATCTACATTTACAGACTTTCCCACATCTTTGCCACATGGATCAACTCTGGGTTCAAAACACCAACTTTATGTCAAGCAGCTAAATACTTAACTGTTGCATAACCAGGGTAGTAAATAGTATGTTGTTGTTGTTGTTATGTGCCATCGAGTTGCTTGTGACTCATAGCGACCCTATGTACAACAGCCCTAAACCCTGCTCTGTCCTGTGCCAATTGCACTGTCTCTAACACTCCCATCCCGATTACCCCAGTCACTGAATCAATCCTTTGTATTTCCCTACTTGCCTTGAAAATCTTGTAGGGCACTTCTACGCTGTCCAAATAGGGCCAGCATTGGTTAGATGGCAGTAGGTTTGAGGTTCCAGCTTTAATCCTCAAGCAGGAGCTTTGGTGGTTGTATGTATTTTGTATTTCGCTGGCAAATGAAAGATTAGTGATCTGAATCCACTCGATGCTCTTTGTGAGAAAGATAGGCAGCCTTCTTTGATAAGAATTTACAACCTTAAAAACACAATTGGGAGTCTCCATTTGTTGGAATCAACTTCATGGCAGTAAATTTGGTTGTAAGGAGCCATAGAGATATGTGATAGAGAAAAGATTGAAATTGTTAGTGATTTCATCTTGCTTAGATCCAGAATCAACTCCTACAGTAACAGCAATCAAGAAATCAAAAGGCTTGGCATATTAGGAAAATCTTCTGTCAAGGACTTCTCCAAAGTGCTAAATAGTAACAATGTCAGTTTTAGAACTAGGATGTGCCTAAGCCAAGCCACATTCTTTCAATTGCTTCCTATCCATCTGAAAGTTAGGCAATGAGTAAGAATGGTCTAAGAAGCATTGATGCCTTTGCATTGTGGTGTTGGTAAAGAGTATTGACTATACTATGAATGGCAAAAACCTCAAAAACAAAAATAGCAACAACAACAACAACAAAACAAACAAATCTGTATTGGTGAAAATTCAACCAGGGTATTCCTTTGAAATCAAGATGTTGAAACTTTGTCTCACATAATATGTCTCTTTGGACATAGTGTTAGGAGAGGCCAGTCCTTGGAAGAAGATGTCATACTGGGAAAGGTGGAAGGTCACAGAGAGAGAGGAGGACCCTAACAAGATAAGTTGACTTAGTGATTGTAAAAATGGGCTTATGTATGACAGAGATCCTGTGAATGGCACAGGAAAGGCCAAGGTTCATGTCTGTTGTTCATAGGATCACTATGAGTCATAGCTGATTCAATGGCACATAACATCTACTTACAATCAAGTTGTAATGAGAGTTTTGGTGGTGTAGTCTGTAGGAACTAAAAAAATTCTTGATGTTTTAAATATTTATCTTCCTGGGATGCATCATATATGGTAGCTAGTAGGGTATGCACATTTGTGTGTTATGTTTTGACTATATAGATTTTTGGTTTTGGGGAATGGTATAAGGAGTCTCTTTATAATAATAAAAATAATGATGATAATAATAATAATAAAGTTTGTTAGATTTCTTGCTAAAAAGAAGATGGATGGTACTTCCAAAGGTGTGCATTATATAATAACTTTAAATCTTTACTTCGTAGAAATGATGAACGTAAATGGGAACTAAATGTTGCCAGGAAAAATAAACACAACTGCTATGCTGAAAATCAAATATTTGGGAGACTCATTCAAGTGAATAAAATTTTGACAATAAAGTGTGAGAATGACCACTATTCAAAATGGATTGAGAGAACATCAATCTATAAGGTAATATTTTTAATTTCAGACTTAGTAGCAAAGACAAACTTCCAAAATGAAAATCTGATGTCTGTGGAATCTTCTGGCCTTGTGTCATGTCAATTTGGAAAACCTCATACATGCTAGTTGATTTGTCCATGTCACAGCTCACCAGAGGGTGGTTGTAATGACATGTAGACTACAGTATCTGAACCACATGCCAGAACTAAAGCTGGCTGCTATCAAGGTGATTTTGATTCAACATGACCTTATGTGTGTCAAAGCAGAACTCTTCTCCATAGAGATTTCAAGGTAATGCCTTATTAGAAGTACATCACCGGGTCTTTCTTCCTAGGTGCCTCTGGCTAGGTTTTAACCCCATAGCTTCCCCCTCCCCCCCACCCCCATTGTTTTCTTTTTTTAAAAAAAAAATTTTTTATTCATTTGCTTACAAAATTTGTACATTCATCTTATTTTATATAATGAAGCAACATTGATGTATGCCAATCATTACGATGTCTTTCTAGATCTTCACTGATCTTTCCCATTTTCTTTATCTTTTGGTTAGTAGTTGAACATTTAATTATTTGCACTCCTCAGGAATTTCTTGGAACACATGAGGGGTTCAAGAAATTATAATAACATCCCTTCTCATGTCCTTTATTTTCCTTCTCTTTTCAGTGAGTTAATTTTTAAGAATGCTAGTTTAAGAATTTCATTTTCTTCTGTTACATTTACTTAAAATTTTAAATGGGATTATATATTATATAATGTTGAATGTTGAAATAATGTGAGTTAATAAGTGTAAGAGAAAATAATGAAGGAAGCAAAAATCATCTCTGGTGCCATCAACCAAACCCTGTGGAGACTCTGAGTTTTGTGTGCAAGCATCTATTTTTTAAAAGTGGTAGCCTAGTGGTAAGAAGCTGTGCTGCAATCCCAAAGGCATGACATTCAAATCCACCAACTGCTCTGTGAGAGGATGGGCAGTTTCCTCCCATGAGATTTACTGCCTCTGAAAATCCACTGGAAGGTCAGCTGTGAGTTGGTTCTGACTCAACAGCACACAACAACATTTGTAATAACTTGGATCTTCCTAGTTTTGTGCTAATTATATCATGATCATTCCCTCATATCATTCAATATTCTTTTAAACTTTGGGATTCCATTGTGTATGTCCACAATTTGATTATACGAATCCCCTCTTACTGGATATTTAGGAGTTTCCTTTTTTCAGTAATACCAAAATGATCATCTTTTACAAAATATTTGCATGCACATCAACCCAATCTCTAATGCAAATCACTGGGTCAGAGATTATAAACATGTTTCTGGCTTGTGATATATATTACCAAACTACTCTTGCAGGAGCTATGGCAGTTTAAATATCCCATTATTTCTCAACAAAAATATCTCCTTATCTACCATCATGGAAAATAGTATTTTTAGAGTGTAAAACTCTGACACGCAGAAGTTCTGTAATTTTTTGCTTTATATTTCTTTTCTTAATACAATATTAACACTTTCATATATTTACAGTATCTTAGTATTATTACCACTTTTGTGGATTTCCTATGCCTGTCCATTTTTCACTTGACCCACTTTCTTTTGCTGAATTGTATGAACTCATTTAAGCATTATTTTGATATTCAATTGCTAACCAAACTCCGGCAATTTCAATCCATGTCTTGCTCTGTGGCAAAATGATGAAGTAGCATGCTTCTAAAAAGATTTACTGTTGTTGTTGTTGTTGTTGTGTACCCTAGAGTCAGAACTGACCCTTAACTGACCCCCTGGCAGGTTTACAGAGGCAGTTGACCACATGGGAGGAGATTGCTCATCTTTCTCCCATGGAACAGCCGGTGGCCTCGAACAACATGTCTTTGGGATTGCAGCACAGCTTCACCAAAACCTATGCAATCTGTAAAGATTATAGCCTAGTAAATGCTGCAGGCCAGTTCCACTCTGTTCTCAAAAGTCTCAAAAAGCTGGAATTGACTCAATGATTAGTGGAGTATTTAACAGATTATGGAGAGGCACAAATGCATAGAAATGCAAACACTAAAGCAAATGCAAATTTTATTCTTTCCAATGAAATGAAAAGCCTGACTAAGGACTTGTGAAAGGGGTGTTTGAACAGTTTGCTTGAAAACAGTTTCCTTAAGACTTTTTCAAAGTTTACTCTTTTCTGAGAGGTTTTTTAAACATTTGAATTAGTCTTAAATTGACCTTACTCTACTTCCTGTTAAATGCAGTGTGGTTATTTTTACAGCACATGTAAATTAATGCGGTTTCTTATACTGACATTTAAGAAACCCTATTGTGCAGATCTTTACATTTAGAAAATGTTTATCATGGCTTTGTTCACAATAGCAAGGAGTTGGAAACCTCCTAAGTGCCCATCAACAAACGAATGGATAGAGAAGCTGTGGTATATTCACACAATGGAATACTATGCTGCTTTGAAAAACAAGGAATTCATGAAATATTATTCAAAATGGGTGACCCTAGAGGACATTATGAGGGGTGAAATATCTCAGTCACAAAAGGACAAATACTGCATGGTGCCACTGTTGTAAAAAAGGACTGATATCAGGGTTGGGGGAGACTGAGAAAGATGGGATAAATAATGTACTATACTGCATTGAAACAGATGAGGGAGAAAACTGTTTAAAAGGGACATGGGATTAGGTACTTCTGTCATGACAGAATCCAGAGGGAAGGCTGCATAGTGGAGTGGACCTACGGGGAGGGATTGTAAAACAATGAAAGAATTTTTCTTTTACTTTTCAAAGAGAAGAGCGAATTGGGGGGAGGGCAGGGTGAGCAGGGAGAAAAGTGCAACAGTGAATGAACGGAAATCCGTAAACTTTCATTAAAATTAATAATAATAATAAAATGGAAAAAAATGCATGTATTAAGGATATTTCTAACCGGACAATTCATTGTAGGTTATGTAGTGTAGTGTAGTAGAAGTACTTTATTGATTATAACCTACTTTAAGAAGAGAGAAAGTGAGCTAAATCAATAACGGATTGATTGGAAGTAAAAATTCACCTCTCTGAAATTTTAAAAAGTGTCCTGGTTGGGACTGAATAGTTAGACATTGAAGCCCACTCCAAGCTATCTCAAGAAAAGCTTGTTTTATTTCTGAAAACTCAGCCATTGATGGAGCTCAGTTCTGTTCTGATGTACGCAAAGCTACCATGTGTTGGAGTCAACTCAGTGATGGCAATAGTCTTTGAAAAATCAGTTTACTTTAAAAAAAATTTAAAAAATCAGTTTACTTTTATAAATATTTGCTTTATGCACAACTTACAGGTACAGTTGGGTGTTTCTGAACTCCCAAGTGAGATTAGCTACCATTGCCACTGGCTTTGGCCAGCTTTGAGGGAAAAACCTGTGAAAACTAGTTCTCCAAGTCCAATATTGTCAGGAAAATTTTTCAATGCGTGAGAATAGTGAAAAATGAAGAGGCTCGGCAGTCTGGCCCTATTTTTTCCCCATCTAGGCCCTGGATTGCTTGAGCACTTGCTTGTAGCCGACTGGAGCTTGGAGTGAAGTAGCTATGTTGCTGTTACTATGACACAGGTGGATACCTGTAGTCGATATTTTAATGTAAATGTAAATTTGGATGTTTATCATGTATCTAAGGGAGTAAGTCCTATGAATAAATTCTGCTCCTTCCTTTATACTGACCCTCCAAGCTGGGTAAATTCTGTGAATACAGAATTTCACTGAAAGTTTTTTGAAATAGATTTTTTTTATACTGGATGTTTTTACATAAACTTTTTTTTTTTAAATTGGCATCTCTCACAAACTTTTCTTTTAAATTGTGATCTTTGTGTGTGTGTGAGAGAGAGAGAGGGAGGAAGATACAGAGAGAATTGGCAAATGAGAGAGCTTAAAAGAAAATTTTAAACTATCATGTCTACTATATCTCATTTTAATGTATATTAATAATGATAAAGTGAATCATTATCATAGGATTATATTTCACTGTTCCAGTAAAAACAGTGGCAAAGCATTGAGACTTTTATCCCCAAATTGCTTTGCTATTTTTCTTTTATTTTTTTCTTTTAAAGATTTTTAAACTTTAAATCTTTACTATATGAATTCTGTTTTAACTTAAACTATTTTATTCTATCTTAAAAAACAAAACCAAACCAAAACCGAAACAGGACTGTGAACAACTGATAAAAGAGATTAATGGAAGCACAACGAGCCATGAAAAGAATGCAGAGTTTGAAGATAAAGGATATTACACATGTGTGTTTTCCCTTCATTATAACGGAAAACTGTTTAATCTCACTAAACCTTACAACATAACAATATCTGAAGGTAAGAAATTTTTTAGAATTTGGAAGAAACAAATGTATTTAAGTAAAATGTAACTTTTTCTTTCTCTTAAACCAGCATCAAGAACCAGAATAAATGTAGCTAGCACTGTGATCACATCACTAGTTTAAATATAGATGTCTTTACATCTATACACTGTATAAAAATTTTTGCTTATTTTTATGTCTAAAGTGAAAGTTTAGATGGGTCCAAATGCTTGAATCAATTCGCTATCTTAGAGTACACTGTGCAATATTTTGTTATTTGTTATGCTTTCGCACAGAACAAATGTTTATTGAGGGCAGCTGTGTTCAATAAAGTATCCCTTGGTGGTAAAAGCAATTAACATGCTAACCAAACTGTTCGCCAGGGAAACATGGGAAAAGAAAGGCCTTCGAAAAATATCAGACATTAAAAACTCCATGGAGCACAGTTCCCATCCTGATAGACAGAATTGATTCATGGGCAACTGGTTTACATCAAATAAAGTATATTGAGCACTGAAAGACACAGGAAGTGGTGAATTGTGAATGTTTATGTGAGATATTATTTGCCAGGAATATGTAATGCAGAATAGTGAGTAAACTGAATGTAGATACCATGGTATATAAAGTACGTATTCCATGTGAATCTTTAATGGAGTGCAGTGAGAGTACGGAGAGACTTTCAGATGTTAATTGTGATGGACAGACCTTGGGACATCCTTGGAAAATGCCACTCTACAATATAAGAGTGATAGAAATAATGGGCTGTGTGATTTGGGAGGATGATTGATTATAAGCTTGAGTATGTATAACAGAAACACAGGAGTTTAACGTTTTAGAGTAACTAGATATTAGAAAACATTTAATTACATCTTCTCCAGGATAATTCATCTGACTGGGACAATAACTGATCCCTACTGAGGGTGGTCTGGTGGTAAGAAGCTGTGCTACAATCCAAAGGCATGTGGTTTGAATCCACCAGATACTCTGCAGAAGAAGGATGGGCAATCTCCTCCTGTGAGATTTACTGCCTTTGAAAACCAGCTGGAGGGTCAGCTATGATGGGTTGTGACTTGACAGCACATAGCAGCCACTGAGGAAATTACCAAATCATACAGAAGTCCAGAGTTCAATATGAGATTGTTATGATCTTTCTCTCCTCCACAGAGTCTAAACATGCATTTTTTTTTCCTTTCCACCCTCTAGAACAATATCACAAATTATGTATAGTCCCTTCTTAAAATATTATCTTCTTTAAATGTTAGATGATGGATAACTCGTCCAGTCTACACTTTCCTCTCCATCATCCTTGGACTTGGTCAACCTAATTATGAACTCATAGTTGTATATATCTGTATATTTCCTTTTACTTAGCAACACTTCCTGCCTTCACTTCAATTGCCCACTAATTTGGTATATGCTCATATGTTGCTGCTATGGAAGAAAGGCTCACACATTTAGGGGATTAACACAATAGAATTTATTAAGTCATTTTTTGTGTGTGAAAAACATAGAATGGATTGACTAAACAGAAATTAAGATATCAATAGGATTGCATTCCTTCTGAGGACTCTAGAGGATAATCTATTTCCTTACTTTTTTCAGCGTTTATGTGACTCCCTGATGCCTTCATTTTCAAATCCCACAGCTTATCATCTTCATATTTTTTATCTATGTATCTACCTCAATCTCATTATATTTCTTCTCTGATCTCTGATTTAGTTCTCAGAGTTCCTTCACTGACATTCTATCCTCTGACTATTAAAATCTTACATATTATGTCAATGTTGGACTTAGAGAAGCTAATAATTTTTTTTTCCTTTTGTCTTTTTCACTTTTAGGTACCGATTATATAAGTCCAGTTATTTTTGGACCACATTTTAATCACATTCCAGTGGAATTAGGTATATTTTTATTTACATACATTCTATACTTATGAAGAGAGTGTAAAATTGAATCTACTAAGTGTAAATTTGACTTGTTTTTTAATAAATAATGAATGGATAACACATCTTATATAAAACACATCTTTTTAAAGTATCAGAAAAAGTTTGCCTTTTTTTTAAATTTTTGCCACCTTTTAGTTAAAATGAACAGTCTGTCCAAAAGTCTCTGGAGCTTACCTGTTTATAGTATGAGATGTTAAACATGCTATGCTGGAATTTTCTGTAATAGTCTCTACAATCATTAATGAATATGGAAGTGGTTTAAGTTACCTAGCACTCTGCAACAGAAATATCATAAATAGATGCATTTAACAAGCAGAAATTTGTTTTCTCAAAAGAAGTATATTTGTTGTTATGTTGTTTATTATTGTTGTATGCCATTAAGTCATAACTGACCTGTAGCTGACCCTCTGATGCATTTTCAGAGGCAGTTAATTGCACAGGAGGAGTTTGTCCATCCATTTGCCACAGAGTAGCTTGTGGATTCGAACCACATGCCTTTGGGATTGCAATGCAGTTTCTTGCTACTTTACAGAGACTATAAGTGACACAGGAGAAGACAGCCTATTTTTCTACCATGGAGAAGCTGGTGGATTCCAACTCCTTGCCTTCAGGTTGGGAGTGCAACTGCAGGGTTGAAGTCTAAAATCAGGGTGTCAGTGGAGATTGATTTAAATGACATGCTCTATTAAAATTGCTTCATTAATATTATGAAGAAATCCTATATCCAAATGGGATTACATTCACAAGTATAATGAAAAACCTGTTGCAGTCAAGTTTATTCAATTCATAGCCATCCTACAGAACAGAGTAGAACACAAAGATATAATTTTTAGGGAAGCTGATGGCTACTTCTTTTTCCCTTGAAGTGGGTGGTTGATTTGAACTGCTAACCACAGCCAAATACTTTATAAGGGTGAGAATTTTCAGTCGAAATTTTTCCAAGACATATTTCAATCCATAACAAAAACTGAGTGAGAACAATCTGGAACAATTATTTTAATCAGTTGACTGAATTCAGGAATCGTCTTGGCAGCCTGTAAACTAGGCCATATCAGTGTCGTTGGTAGGTGCTGTCCAGTAGGCTGTGACTCATAGTGACTCTGTGAACAATAGAGTGAAACCTTGTCTTGTCCTGTGCCATTCACGTGAGCTCTTGCCATGTCCAGGCTCATCAGTGCAGTCATTGTGTCAATCCATTTAGTTGAGGGTCATCCTCTTTTGATGACCTCTGCTCTTCCCGGCATGATGTCTTTTCCCAAAAATTCTGTCCCCAAAATATGTGAGACAAACTGTCACTGTCTTTGCCTCCAAGGAGCACTGTGGTTACACTTCCTCCAAGACATCACTGTATACTCAGTATTCTTTGCCATGACTGCAGTTCCAAGTCATCAACATTTTCTCATCCTTATTTATTGTCCAACATTCAGGTGCATAGAAGGCAACTGAAAATACCATGGCTTGGATCAGGTGCATTTTAGCTTTAAACTGAATCTTTGCTATTTAGTACTTTAAAAAGGCCCTTGGCAACAGATTAGTTACTACAAAATGCTATTTGACTTCTTGACTGTTGCCACCATGAGTGATGAGTGTGAACTCAAACAAAATGAATGTGTTATAAATACAACCACTTTTGAGATATAGAAAGAGTCAATTAGGTACAGAGGCACAGGAGCAGAAATGAAGAAAACAAAAGATGTTACACAGAGTTGTTGTTAAATGCCATTGAACCAACTATAACTCATGTTGTTGCTGCTGTTGTTGTTATGTGCCGTCGAGTTGCTTGCGACTCATAGCGACCCTATGTACAACATCCCTAAAATCTGTTCTGTCCTGTGCCAATCGCACCGTCTCTGATACACCCATCCCTATTAACCTAGCACTGAATCAATCCACCTCATAGAGGGTCTTCCCCTTCTGCACTGTCCCTACAACCTACCAAGCATGATGTCCTTCTCCAAGGACCTGTCCCTCCTTGCAACATGTCCAAAGTATGTTAGACAGAGCCTTAGAATCCTTGCCTCCAAGGAGCAGCCTGGCTTGACCCTTTCCAGGATGAATCTGTTTGTTTTCCTAGCAGTCCATGGTACCCTCCATACTCTTCTCTAGCACCACAGCTCAAAGGCATAAATTCTCGTTCTATCCTCCTTAGTCATTGTCCAACTCTCTGATGCATAACAAGTAATTGCAAAGACCATGGCCTATATCAGGTGCACATTAGTCTCCAAAGAGACACCATTGCTCTTCAGTACTTTGGAGAGGTCCCTAAAAGCAGATTTTCCCATGGCAATACGTCTTCGAATGTCTTGGCTACTGGTGCCAAGAGTGTTGACTGTGGAGCCAAGCAAACTGAAGCTGTGAACAATCTCAATCTCTTCACCATCCATCCTGATGCTGCCAATTGGCCCAGTGGTGAGAATCTTTTTCTTCTTGACATTGAGCCTCAATCCATATTGGAGGTTGCAGTCCTTGACCCTCTGCAGTAAGCACTTCAGGTCCTTCTCAGTTTCAGCAAGCAGGGTTGTGTCATCTGCATATCACAGATTGCTGATAGATCTTCCACCAATCTTGACCCCACATTTCTCCTCAAAGAGCCCAGCTTCCCGGATAATCTGTTCTTCATACAGGTTGAAAAGGTATGGAGACAGGACACATCCCTGGTGTACACCCTTCCCAATTTTGAACCATGCAGTGTTCCCTTGCTCTGTTCTGACAACTGATTCTTGGTCCGAGTATAGGTGTCTCTTTAGCACAATCAAGTGTTCTGGGATTCCCATTCTTCTCAGAGTCAGCCACAGTTTGTTATGATCCACACAGTCAAACGCCTTTGCATAGTCAATGAAACACAAGTATACATTCCTCTGGTATTCCCTGCTCTCAGTTAAGATCCACCTAACATTAACTACAATATCCCTAGTACCATAGCAACTCTTATTATAGCAGCATGCCCAAACTAAGACTCCTGAACCATCTTTATTTCCCTGCAGTTAAAAAATAATAAATAAATAAATTATTTTGGTAAAAAATTCCAGGTTTGAAAAATTTCCTCCCACTTAAAGTTGCCCTGCTATTGTTCAAGGACTTACTGAGATTCTCTTGAGAGATTAATTTTCAGTCTTCTTGTTACTGCTTTAATACCTATTTTTGTTTTGGTTACTTTTAAGATGTCTCTTTATCTTTCATTTTTATATGTTTAGGACAAATTGCATTGAACTTCTTGTAGGTGTATTTAATAAATTTTGAAAAATGTTTCGCCTTTATCACTTTGAATATTCCTTCTTCAGATTGTATCTCTTGATTCTTTCTCTCTCAAATTCTAATTCTAAGCTTTCACAAGGTCCTATATGCCTTTTAAGCCCTGCTTTTCATTTGCATTCTTATTTTTCTTTTTTAGTTTTTATTTTCATCTAAATTCAAATTCAGTAATCTTGCTATCATTGATGTCCAGGTAGCTGTTAAACACTCAGTGACTTCTTCACTTCCTATATGGTAGTGGTCAGTTCTTGAATGTATACTTGATTCTTTTTATAGATTATTTTCTTCATTGTAATGCTCTATCTTTTCCATCTATTTGTCTATATTTTCCTTATTCTGTTTATGTACCGTAGTAGTTTCAAAGTTTTTATCTACTGGCACATAACAACAACAACAACAACAACAACAACAACATAGCCCTTATTTCATCTGTGTACCTCCTTCCATTTTCTACTTTCTTTTTTCTTACATTTTTTTCTCACCCTAGGTTGCTGGTTAGAGTCAGTCGTCCTTATTTCTTCAATAACTCTGGAGAGATTACAGACATGCGTTAACTGTTGTCTTTTTCCTCTAATAAGATTTTATCTTCTATCTATGTGTAACTTAAATGAACTTACTCCTACCTTGCACTTAGAAAATATTCTGTAAGTAAAATGTCTTGCATTTGAGGATTTTCTAGGTTCTAGTCTATAACTCCAATCCATTTAACTGTCAAAAAACTCCTTGCCCCCTCCTTTTCTCCACAATGAGTATCTTCTGTTGAATAAAATGATAGTCATTTAGCAGATCATTCGAGAGGCTGGGCTTTATGAGGAGAAGTGTGGCGTCAGGATTGGTAGAAGATCTATTAACAATCTGCGTTATGCAGATGACACAACCCTGCTTGCTGAAACTGAGGAGGACTTCATGCCCTTGCTGCAGAGGATCAAGGACTGCAGCTTTCAGTATGGACTGAGGCTCAAGGTCAAGAAGACAAAGATTCTCACCACTGGCCAATTGGTAGCATCAGGATGGATGGCAGAAAGATTGAGATTGTTCACAGCTTCAGTTTGCTTAGCTCTACCGTCAACACTCTTGGCACCAGCAGCCAGTAAATAAAAAAACATATTGCAATGGGAAAGTCTGCTGTTAGGGACCTCTCTAAAGTACTCAGAGCAATGGTGTCTCTCTGGAGACTAAGGTGCATCTGATACAGGCCATGGTCTTTGCAATCATTTGTTATGCATCAGAGAGTTGGACAATGACTAGGGAGGACAGAAGGAGAATTTATGCCTTTGAGCTGTGGTGCTGGAGTAGAGTATTGAATGTACCCTGGACTGCCAAGAAAACAAACAGATTCATCCTAGAGAGGGTTAAACCAGGCTACTCCTTGAAGGCAAGGATTCTGGGGCTTTGCCTGACATACTTTGGACATGTTGTAAGGAGAGACAGGTGCTTGGAGAAGGACATCATGCTTGGTAGGGTGGAGGGACAGTGCAGGAGGGGAAGACCCTCTATGAGGTGGATTGATTCAGTGACTGGGGTAATCGGGATGGGTGTGTCAGAGGCCAGGCGACTGGCACAGGGTAGAGCAGGATTTAGGGCTGTTGTACATAGGGTTGCTATGAGTCGCAAACGACTCGACGGCACATAAAAACATAGGTTATTTTAGGTTCATTTAAGAAAGGGTCTTTTCTAATTGTACTTTCAATTTAAATATTTTCTAATTCTTTTTAGTGGCCTAGAGGCAACAACCTGTGCTTCAATTCCAAAGGAATTTGAGGCTACCATGGGCTCCAGGGTAGCAGAATGGGCAATCTTCTCCCATGTGATTAACTACCACTGAAAAACCACAGGAGGGTCATCTATGGGTCATTTCCTACTCTATGGTACACAATAACAACAATGATAGTATAATGATATCATTTATCTTCCCACCCCTCAAGGATGGCAATGAATAATGCATGAATATCATCTGCCAAATTGTATACTCAGGAGACAATCCATTGACTAAGTTTTAATAATTGATTTAAAGATCTATTTTTCTCTTTGACTTTTATATTGTGATTTTGTTAAAGTTTCCAATCAGATTGGATTTTCATTAAGCCACTCATATACATTTTGTTTTTGTAACATTAATTATAAGAATACTAATTATTAACTAACATTACTAATTCATTAATAATTAATGTTGTATTATTTAATATTACTAAAATAGTAATTAATTTTGGCAGCAGGAGTAGCATTTACTTCCTAAATGACATGCCTCTAGAAACTCTATGAACTTTGAGAAATGACAATAGTTATAGAAAAGCTTTAGGTCTTTTGTTCATGGGGTCACTATGAGTCATGCTCAACTCAATGGCAATCAACAAAAACAGTAATTGATTAATTAACTATCATTAATTATAATACCCACAGTATAATCAAACACTTCTTGCTTCTTTCCTGTAATTCTCGTTTCCTATTCTTTCCTGCTCTCTGGACTGTATCTTGAGAAAAATACTGTTCTTCTGAGTTTATATGATTGATTATCTTAAGGAGTGTGTGTGTCTCTAGGGTGTTATTATTCATCTTGTAGGCCTGTGTCTTATTTGGCAGAAACTTGAGCCATGGGGTGAATTTTGTTCTGGGTTCAAGTTGATTTTCATCAAAAAGCTGGTGTACATTTGGAGATGGACTATAATTCCTTCCTAATTTGTTGCCTTATTTATACTTTGAAAAATTTCTTAATATAAGGCATATTTGTATACTTTCTAGGATGAAGCATAATGTTGTATTCCATGTTACAAAGATGTATTACGTATAATTGTATAAAACATATTGAAAATATAAGTTTAAAACCTTTGGTAAAACTGAGTATCTAAAATCTAAACACTAATTGTCAACTTTTAACTAGGAAAAGATGAAGAACTAAACTGCTCTGCTGTGTTGAATAAATACGATAAAATTTATTGGAGCATATTTAAGGAAAACGGAGCAAAACATCCTAATGTACATGAAGGCAACCAAACAAACTTTATGTAAGTGTATGTTGTCATAAAAACCAAAACCTAGATTACAAATTGAGTGATGGGGTATTTAGAGTAATTATGAAAATTATTGTTTTATTATAATGATTTCTATATTATAGGTTTGATATAGCAGAAATTATTGCAGCGATCTCAACTAAGAAAAGAGTCAGTAAAACCTTCTAATATTACCTTTTAGAAGTAAATTTTAGTCAGGCTATGGTGGAGATGGGGATTTTACTCCAGTATGTTAGAGAGGCTCTAGTGGCCCAGTGGAAAGAAGCTGTGCTGCAATCCTGAAGGTACATGGTTCAAGGCCACCAGCCTCTCTGAGGGGGAAGGATAGGCAGTCTCCTTCCCTATGGTTAACACCAGGGAGTCAGCTAAGGGTCAGTTTTGACTCTACAATATACTAGAGAAGAGCAACTGCCAAAGTCTCAGTTATTGGGATTTTGAAAACAATATGAAATGTTTTCATTTTCACTAGTGTGACAGAGGAATCCTCAGTTGGGAATTTGAATCACTCACGGGCATGACTTCTTTCACTTGTGTATTAACAGGGCCCACCATCAATACCATTATCTCTGGGGTTCTCAGAGCAGCTAGTCAACCACTATTTTCTATTTCCTTTCTACAGTCTACTTCCTGTAGACACACACTTTACTGAATGCAAGGGGGTCTTTCTGTAGTCAATTGCCAATAAGACAAACGGATTACAATATCCGTATACACTTTATTACAGATCTGGGAGAACGGCAAGTTGGCCTTCAAGACTGCCTTTCTGTCTGGGAGTGGTCATTAGGTTTTTATACCAGGTGAGACACCAAGGCACTTCTCAATGAACTTTGGTTAGTAAAATCAAAGAATTTCTACATTTGAAAAAGAACATTCATACACAGATACCAGTAAACAGGCAGCATATAAACTACTTAACACAAAGCTGAGAAAAACAGATTTTGGAAAGATAATTGTTAATTCAGTACCTCCTTTTCTGTTAAACAGATTGTTACAATTTACATATGACTGGGAAAAACAGCTTTAAATTTATCATTTCCTCAACAGACAGACCAAACTACTTTACAGGACTAAAAAGAGGAAACTAAGAATTCTAAAACAAAATAACCAGTTTTTTAGGCTGGAGAAAACTGATGTCAGTTTTATAACTGCTATATAGAAAATTCTGAATTTATCACTCTCTCTCCCCCCCCC